TGTGTTCTTGAAATTATATAAAAGGCGTTGAAACAAGGAACTGAAGCAACGAGTCAATATTATTGTGATAGGCTTAGAGTTGAGGGCCCTTAACTCTAAGCCTATCACAATAATATTGTTTATTTGTATAATAGATCTCTTGTATCAGCCACATTTTGTCATTTAGTTTTGTAAACTGAAGAAGACCAGAGGACTGGTCGAATATTTCTTTTGAAATAAACCAGTGTTTTATAGTCCACATGACTCGTTGCTTCAATTCCTTGTTTCAATGCCTTTTATATAATTTCAAGAACACATTATATACTGTATATATTTATATAATCACACTTGAATTGAATTTCCTTGTCCTTAGTTTAGCAGAGTAAACTCGGTAGTTGAAAGGCAGAGGTAGACTGTGATCAAATTAACAAAGGATTAAATGACAATGAATGATAAACTTTATAACGGTCGTAAATTGCACTAGAGTTTGGTTGGGTGATAGGCCTATGATACAAAGTTTTTTAAGAGATATTTGTTAGCATGTCTACAAGCTGTGATAAGTTCGTTTCTCCTGTTTAAGGTAGCCAAATTCATATCTAATTTTTGTGGTCCAATCAACTAATTGTATCGTTAAATTGATTCTGATTGGTTAATATCATTTATTATTCTTTTTGTATGTGTAAAGATCTCCAATGTTTTCTCAAAACTAGATTGCAGGAGATATCAAAATATATATAAAATCAAAAACAAGATGACGCTTGGAAATTCAACATTTTATTGCACTACAGGCTGTTTCATGAGGTACTTCCTCAATCGTCAGGTGCTAGGCTGTGAATGAGACTGAATAACAATCATGCATGGTGGAAATGCTTTATTAGTATATGGTTTATATTAATTTATTGGTATAACTCATTAGCATTCATAGTGGTAATTAGATTAATTGTATTTAAGTTGATCTGTGTCTACATGCATTAATCAATTCATTCTACTGTTAAGTGAGCTTAATTCAGGGTTACATATAATAAAATATTTCTCAACTGATATTTGAGTAGGGTAAATTTGCATTTAGCTACAAATTTGACCCTGCAAATGAAGTCAAAATATTTTACCCTGAAATAAGGTCAAAAGTAACCCATATGGGATCAAAAATTACTACATTTAGTGGTCAAATATGTAGTAAGCAGGATTATTTGGATATGACCACTTTTTACACAGTCAAACAGAATTTCGTAAAATCTAACTAAGTTTGATATAGTTAAACTTTGAATATACTTGTAGTCAAAGTAATTATTCGCAGCCCATTTAGTGCATTTTTAAAACAATTAAAAAGACGTAACTACTACGTGCATATTCAATTGTAGAAGACTTCATATAAATATAACTTTTTTTGATTAAGTAATCTTTGAGTACTAGTACTCAAAGATCAAATACAAATCAAATTCATTCACTATGGGTAACAGGAACACTAACATTGTTCCTGCTGCAGTGAGGTATCAGATCGAAAAGATGGCTAATCATTAATTTTTATTACAATATACTTATTTTAACATTACTAGTATATTGGTATATTATTATTATTATTATTATTATTATTATTATTATTAAGAAAAATTTTGTTTTGGTACATCGTACTGATTTTTTTAGGACACAAAAATAATGTTTTTGACAAAAATTTTCCAACATGTAATGAGATACAGATTTTGGAATATTCAGAAACTGATTGGATAAAGTGGGGAAAAAAATGTGGTTGCAGCCCTTTTCTCCAGGATAAATATCTTCATCATATTTAAGTATCCAATCACCCACTTGCCATCTCATAGACAGATTCTTTTCAAGTACTTTATACTGCTTTCTACTAATTTTTTTTTCTTAGAGTCGTTTCACTTAAAATATGTTCTGTTTTCTAGATTTCGGTTTCCTTAATGCCACCGCTTTGAAAAAGGCAATCAACTGATGCTTGCTCATTGCCTACACTCATTCTGTATTTTTACATATTTTTAAAACATAATTAATATGTTTCTTACTCATTTGTTACAGATACAATTTTAATCATCTACATTATTAGCACCGATAACTTTAGTAGCAGACTTGCTTATCTTATTCAATAGACTGATTTCTTATTCCTAATAATGCTGTGAGGCAAACAATACAACAGAAATTAAATTGTGCTTTGTTCATCACATATTAACTAGTAATATTAATTGGATTGTGAATAAACTGAATGATTATGAAATTCGGTCATATACTTTCATGAAAATCATCAAACAATGACCATGGCAAAGAAAAACAGACGCGTGGTGACATTGCCGATAGATACAATGATAACTGCATGGTGACAGTGTGTTAGCTTCAACTACTGTAAAGCTCCGTTTCAGTGGATATTTCATGGCCTACTGTATTGGTACTTAGTGTTTCATTCTACAATTAAATGCTTTGTATCTTACCTTGTGTGGAGAAATTAATTCACAGTGCTCAAAATAACCTGTGTGCTTTCCACTATTCAGATACTTGCAATAAAAAATCTAGATACACGAAAACAAAAACAATAAGTTAAGACAGGAACAGGAAACTCAGGAAGGAAGTCAGTTATTGGATTTAATCCAATAAATTATAACCATGAAGTGACATAAATGTCAGTATTTACATTTGTCCTATCTATCTATCTATCTATTTATCTATCTATCTCTCTCTCTCTC